GGGAATGGAGTTCTGGGAAGGCGAAGAGCACGAAGTGTGTGACTGTTGGTGAAAAATGAGCCCGGCACCCTGCCGCCCGGCAACTCCCCAACACCTGCCCGGACCCCCCTGTGGAGTGATCTGTGAGCTCTTTTGAGTCAACTAGAAACCTATCAGTCTTCGCTGTTAGGTAAAAAAACAAGAGGAGGCGTGACGCCCCCCTCGGCCTGCGGAGGGGCAGGAGGAAGGCGCGGGAAAGAGGGGGCAGGACCCACCCGCAGCGGATCGGGCAGCCGGCTCGAACCGGCATGTGCGGCGAAGGAGAGGAGGAGGAGGAGGAGGAGGAGGAGGAGGAGGAGGAGGAGGAGGAGGAGGAGGAGGAGGAGGAGGAGGAGGAGGAGGAGGAGGAGGCAAAAAGGCAAAGGCGCTTAGGGGGCGGGTTCCAGATCCCAAACGGAAAATCGAACACTTAAATGCCCCTGCGAAGAATATGGATGCTGGGGGTCCGGCACTCGGCCCCGGACCTCCGCCAGCGGGTCCAGGCTGCGGCTTTGCCGCTTCCGCTGCCTGGCGCCGCGTCTGCAGGGAGAAACTCCTACTGCACCATCGGGATTCGAACGAGTTCGGGCCGAGGCGGGCCACGTGCGCTGCCTATGGCGCACCTCGGCCCCCTATGAGGGGCGCACTTGCTGGGGAAGACGCCGTCCCTCCCCCCCTCCTCCCTCTCCCCCCCCCCGCCATCAGAGAGCGCAGAAACCGTGTCGTGAGACGAGCTCTTGTGACGTTTCTGATCGGACGGGAGCGGGAACGAGACGCCAGCGTTTTTTTTTTTCTCAGGCCGAAGGCGCCAAACGCGCCACGGCAGCCCAGGAGCCACAAACCGTATGGCGGCAGAGGCGTCAGCCTTGAAATTTATTGTGTTATTGTAAACTTGTCGCCGCTTCTTTCAACAACGCCCATTTCTTCCCATGACTCCAAAGCCAAAGAAACTTCTTGAATTGAGCTCCAGGCCCCAAGAGTTGTTTGGATTTCTCTTGCAGCCAACAGAATCCAATCCGCCGGGGAAACCGTCCAAGATCTTATGGAATTGCTCAATGCACCCCTTGCGGGAAAAAGAATCTACCAACGCTTCGAAATAACTTGAATCGCATTGGTCTCCAGCTGTACTTTTGCTCGTTTCGTCTGCCACGTGACCACTTGCATTTGCAATCGAATCTTCTTCGCTATTGTCAACAATCACGCAGTATTTGCTTCCATGTTGTGTGAGCGCGCCGAGCAAAACAAAATCTGTGAGCGCCTCTAACAACTGAGTTTCCGTGCATGCAACGTTCAGCTTTGATTTGATATCATGCATCGACAATCCTTCCTTCGGGAAGCCGTGGGGGTCAAGAGCCAAGTCCCAAATCGCGTCGATTAGTTGCCCTATGCTCGGCGCCTCCCCTTGAGCCTCCTTTTGAACCACCTCCCTTGAGCCTGCATTTGGAGCGTTTCCCAGAGAACCATTTTCGAGCAACTCTTCCTCATCCCTTGTCTGTGTGTTGTCTATCTCATCATGATTGCCAACAACCTTTCCTTCTTGCTTCAGCTCCCGCTCTGCCTCCTGCTCCACACCGACCGTGGAGAAATGGGAATCTTCAGAATTCTCTGCAATTTCAGCGCGGGCTTCGGGCTGCCGTTCAAGACCAGGAGGGGGGCCAATCGGAACAACTGAACCAGCCATATCAACTGGGAACTTGGATGCTTGTGCTGCCTCTGAATCTTCACTTTCTGCAACCAAATGCGAGAGTAGATTTATTCGTACTGCTTGCACGTGTCGGGCATGTGCGCGTCGGATCCGCAACCGGCGCCTCCTACTCTGAGAAATCTTGCTCTCGCAGGTCGCAAACTCTGTGGGCGGCACGGCGAGAACATTCCCCATCATCATGTGTATGTGTGCCCCCCGCTCCCCCGAGGTCCGACGAGCAAAGAGCTGGACCCCAAGAGTGTCGCTAGAGGAAATTTCGATATCTTTCCTGCATGTCGCCCGCGCTTGCTGCAAGCCACACGCCGACTAGGAGGAGGAGGAGGAGGAGGAGGAGGGAGGAGGAGGAGGAGGAGGAGGAGGGAGGGAGGAGAGGAGGAGGAGGAGGAGGAGGATGGAGGAGGAGGAGGAGGAGGAGGAGGAGGGAGGCGAGAGGGAGGAGGAGGAGGAGGCGGAGGAGGAGGAGGTGGGGAGGGAGGAGGAGGAGGGAGGAGGAGGAGGAGGAGGGAGGAGGAGGGAGGAGGAGGAGGGAGGAGGAGGAGGAGGAGGAGGATGTGGAGTCGAAGTCGAGCAAGGTCGGCCGCGCCAGGATGCCCAGAGGCGCCGTGCAGACGTCGGCCGCCTGCAGCGGGCCTTTTCGCTCTCTCGGGAGGCAGGCACCGCGTCGGGCCGAGCCTGCCGGGATCGGCCTCGGATCGGACCGCTCCGGAACGGGCCCCTTCTCCCGCCGCTCGTCCAGGAGTAAAGCAGGGCTAGGATCGGGATAACTCGCTCCAGAGCGTTCCGGAGCGCTCTCAACGCTCTGGAGCGGCCGCGGCGCCCGATGCATCCTCCAAACCCGCCGATTCTGAGAGATTTCGAGTTATCCCGATCCAAACCCGCCGCTCGTCCAGGAGCCCCCCCCCCCCCCTTTGAGACGAAGCCGGGGCGAGGATGGCATTGTTGGAGGCCTGGAAGTGGGCACCAACACCAGCACAAGGGGGTTGCCTCCACAGGGGGAAGACGATCCTCGATTCCGGTGTTGGTGGTAATATTTCGGCCACCTTGGAAGCCAGAATATTACCACCATCACCGAGATCGGGATGTTCTTCCCTCGGTGGAGGCACACCGACGATCTTGGTGTTGGTGTCAAACTCCAGGCCTGCGACATTGGGCGAGGATAAATCGAGAATCTCGGAGAGCAAGCGGCTCTGGCGGGTGTCTCGGGAGCCGCGACCTTCCCAGAGCGTTCCGGCACGCCCTGAAAGCGTTGCGGAAAACTCTGAAACGGATTCCTCCTCGTCCTCCTCCTCCTTCCTCCTCCTCCTCCTCCTCCTCCTCCTCCTCCTCCTCCTCCCCCTCCCTCCTCCTCCTCCTCCCTCCTCCTCCTCCTCCTCCTCCTGCTCCTCCTGCTCCTCCTGCTCCTCCTGCTCCTCCTGCTCCTCCTGCTCCTGCTCCTCCTCCTCCTCCTCCTCCTCCTCCTCCTCCGTAGCCATTTTGGCTCAAGTCCTCGGCCTTTGGGGGTCGAGGACACCACAGCATTTCACTCCTGGTCAGGTCCAGGAGCTTGGGGCGCGAACATTTCGCGTTCGCTTCCGCCCCCGGAGTTTTTCGGATCATTCCCCACCAGCCTGCCATGCCTGCCACTCCTGCGAAGGAGCACCTCTCCATCATGATCTGCGGGCATGTCGACATCGGCGAGAGCACCACCATCGCCCGCCTCAACTACTACCTGGGCGGCCTTCCGGAACGCGAGCTGGAGAAGCTGAAGGAGGAGGCCGTATGCCTAGTACCAGGCTCCATCGCCTTCAAGTTCTACATGGACCGTCAGAAGGAGGAGCACGAGTGCGGGGTGACCAGCGCCTGCACCCAAGAGTTCTACACGAGATGTGGCACTACACAGTCGTCATCGATGCCCCAGGCCATCGCAATATCAACAAGGACGCAAACCTGCAGAAGAAGTCTGACAACATGGGCTGGTGGAAAGGCTGCGATGTCAAGTACGGCAAGGACTGCGCCACCCACAGATACAAGCAGTTCCGCTATGCCGAAATCGGAAAGAAATGAAGAGCATGCTGGTCAAGGACGGGTGGTACAAGGACTTCGAAGAGAAGGAAACGCCTGCGATGCCAGTCTCCGGCCGGATGGGCGACTACCTGCTAACGAAGTCTGACAACATGGACTGGTGGAAGGAATGCGTCGGCGAGTACGGCAAGGCCCGTGCCATGCAAAAGCATCCATCATAAGTCTGGATGGCTTTACCTTGTTTTTCGCCTTTCTGCCAGCCTTCGATGTGGCTGGCCAGCAGAATCAGTTGTGCATGATGCCAAGTGTTGCAGTGTCTCTGGTATGTGGTCTGGGGCGGGGCAGAGACCTCGCGGAACGACTGGGGCGGGGCAAAGGCTTCGCAGAATGACGAATTGACCTGTTGAAGCGGAGATGTCCGCGGGATTAGTCTTCCCCGATCTCCTTGTGTTGCTTCAATTCAATGTTTGTGAAGAGTTTGACCAGGCAGGTCGAGAGCCTCACAGGAGGTGAGGTGCTTCCCTGCGTCATCGAATGCAACACTTTCTCGAGGCATCAATTCACTCCAGTTGCAAGTAAAGCCAGTCGGATTCCACTCACTGCTTGCCTAGAAGGCGCGTGGGCCACTTTCGCCCAAGCCGAAAGGTCGATGGCCCTCGCGTGCTGCCTGGAGTCCCCACCCCTCCACAGGAGGCGGTTCTTTCTTGGTGCACGCTCCCTGTCTCCCAACCACGCGCTGATCCTCCTCCTCCTCCTCCTCCTCCTCCTCCTCCTCCTCCTCCTCCTCCTCGCCCCATGGGCGAGGCGGGTCATGCGGGAAACGGGTCCTGGGCCCTGGGGCCTTCCCCCGGGACCTCTTGGTTCACCCAGGGTCGTCTTCTGACCTTCTGACGGCCCCAGGGCCCGCAAGAGGCCCCGAGGGCCCCGAGGGCCCTGGGGCCTTCCCCCGGGTTCTCTTGTTCACCCTGGGTCGTCTTCCGACGGCCCCAGGGCCCGCAAGAGGCCGCGAAGGCCCGAAAACGGAGAAACAACAACTGCAGGGCCCGTCTCCCTCGGGACCCCTTTCCCCCATACAGTCGGCATTGATTGGGCAAGACACGTGAGAGGACGAAAGACCCTTCCGAGGGCCACGTCGCCATGGGGGATGTAGGAGGCACGTGTCGCGAGGCACAGGACACAAGGGCACCTTTCAGCTGGCAGGGTCGACCTACTAATGAATCCGGGCCGATGGTAGCGAATCCTCGTCCTGGCCCCGTCCGGCCCCACCCCGCCCCGCCGGGAGGAGGTCGCTGCAGAAGCGCTGGAACGAGGTGCGGTCCTGCCACCGCGCGCTCTTGGGACGCGGCGCGGCGCCAAAACCCTGCTGGTCCCCTCCCTTCCCCTCTTCCTCCGTTCCCCTCTTCTCCCCCCTTTCCCCCTCCTCTCCTCCTCTCCCCCCTCTCTCCCCCTCTCCTCCCCTTCCCCTCTCCCTCTCTCCCCCTCTTCTTCCTACTCCTGTCCCCCCTGTCCCCCGTTTTCTCTTTCTCCCTCGCCCGTCTTCTTCGTACACGCTTCCCCTCGCCCCCCCCAACCCCCAAAGCACACAAACACCCACACACACCACACACACACAAACACACACACACACACACACACACACACAACACACAGGGCAAAACACAGTAGGAGGAAAAGGAGGAGGAGGAGGAGGAGGAGGAGGAGGAGGAAAAAGAGGATACTGTGCAGCGGGGGGACATACAGTCATCGTGCTACCGTAGGGAACGCTGAGTAAGGAACGATAGTGCTATTTCATACCACGGCAAACCTAGGAAACGAATCGGTGCCACAACTTAGATCTAAAGAACGGCCAGAAAACCAGGACCCCTGTCAAACTCTGAACGGTATGTATTTCTGCGTTTTGGGTGTACAATACAATGAAGGGGGAAATGGCGGAAGAGGGGTGGAAAATAATGCCAACTCGTGATTGACAAAAACAAGCCGGGCGCGTGAGTGAAACATCGTTTCCTAGCTCAGGCGGATCGCGGGGCGGCGCTCGCCAAAATGGAAAACGCGCCACGGCGGCGCAGGTGATTCGCAGCTGGACGGCGACAGGCGCGACGCAAGCGGCGCTGCTTCTGCGGGGTGGGCAACAGCGCGCCCGCTACAACGGTCTGGGCCAAAATGGTTACGGACAATCGAGAAATTCGAGGCGGGAAGAAGAACCGCCTCAAAGTTGGCGGGCGGTGCCGGCACGGGTACAAAAAACAAACATAAAAAGGGAGAGGGGGGAGCAGCTGCGTGGCCCCACTGTGGTCGGCGACGACGGCGGCGAACGACAGGGCCGACGACGGGGCGACCGACGACGCGCGCGCGCGCTGCGGATACCCCCGTGGGAGGGGCGATCGCAGGGCCGCCGAGGACGACGAGGACAACACGAGGACGACGACGACGACGACGACGACGACGACGACGACGAGGACGCTATCTGGCGCTTTCAGACAACGCCGCGCCGTCGGTCCAGCCGGCGCGCGGCGGGCACTTCCTTCGCGCGCGCGGTAGCCCCAAAACCCAGGACAGGCACCGAAGCCCCTGCCCGACATGGGGAGCCACCGGTGGCACCTCGGGATGGCCCCCACGACGACGTCGGCGGCGGGGCGACCGGCGACTACGCATCGTGGATGCCTGGCGGGATGGGGTGCTGCGACGGCCCGCTGGAGTCGACGACGGCGACGACAACGACCACGACAAAGACGACGAAGGCGACACGACGACACGACGACGACGACGACGACGACGACGACGACGACGACGACGACGACGACGACGACGACGATGGAGGCGGCGGCGGCGGCGGCGACGGCGACGGCGGACACCCCACATGGGGGGGTGCTGCGCATGCCCGCTGTAGTCAACGACGACGACGACGACGCATTGCGGATGCCTCATGAGGAAGGAAGGAAGGAAGAGCCATACGCCCTACGGCGCGTCGGCGGCGGCGGCGCAGTAGCGCCTCACGACTTCTCGCCCATGCTGTGCATCCAATACAGCTTCCTGCAGTTGCTGTCCGTTTCCACATACCCGCACTGCGTGCGGCAGCAGCATTCTTGCCCTTTCCTATCGTGGCGCCCCTGTTTTGCGCACGTATCGGTCGCTGAGCGGCGTGAGCGTCCCAGGGAAGAACACGGCATCACGAAGCTGAATACTGCAGCGTGGGCCTCATGAGGGGGGGGCTGGATACTGCGTGAACCCGCTGTCGCCGTCGACGGCGACGAAGATGACGACCACGACGGCGACTGTGGCACGTCAGTGGTCCACCCGAGAGGAGAGAAAACTTCGCATCGGACGTATACGATCCTTGGTGCAACTTATGTAAGAAAAAAGGCGATCGGTTTGAAGCTTCCGTGCAGGGGGTACACGATCCCCTCGGCGGTGCCCGTACCGAGCTCCTGGCGCGCGTGGTCCGCCGGCTGCCTTTTGGGGCCACCAGGCTCCGCGGGTTACGCTTGCTGCTCGCTGCTCCAGGGAGTTTCCAGTTCCAGTCTCCCATGTTAGTTCTGCTTTCTGCTTCCTACTCTAAACTATTAAGGTCATTGCGAGGTGGGGAGGCGAAGAGGGGCCTGGTTAACACCATATGGGGAGGTTCTCCGAATTTCGAAGGGGTCCTGGAACACCCACCTAGAAATACGTAAGAGTCGCGCCCCCGAAGCCATAATCGCTCGCAAATTACTCCGTGTTCGTGCCCCCGAGGCCATCATCCTGATTAACTTGCGCGGTATTCGCCTCCCCGAGGCCATGCACCCCCGCGAATCACACTCCCGATACAAGAACTCCTCACATATTAAACAAGTGTCGCGTCTCCAATGTAATAGTCGATCGCGAGTTACGCCGTAGTTGCGTCCCCGAAGCCACGATCCCTCGTCAATTACGCGTTCTTCGCGTCCCCGAATTAAAAACCCTCGCGAAATATGCAATACCCTCGCTTTCGAAGCTGCAATCCTTCATAGAAGGCCCCACCGAGGGTACAAGAGGCCTCCGAGACGACCCATGACTGCTCCAAGGCGCCCAAAACGGCCCCAAGACGGCCCAAGAGACCCCCAAGAGGGGCCCAAGAGGCCAACATCTGCGATTTGCCTTAGGTTGTTGATGGATTTTGGCACGCTCATACCTCCAGTGGTCCCCGTTCGGAGTTCCGACGCTGCTTCAAGACGGCGCCCAAGCCTCACAACATAGTCCTTGCATACCCCATTCTCCGAGAGAGGAGGCCGGCGCCAGGGGACGAGGCCCTTACGGATTCAAAAGAGTGTCGCGCCCCGCAGAGTCTATTCATCAGCCTTGGGAGGGGGGGAGTCATTTGTTCATCACGAGCTGACATTACTGTGCAGTGAGGGTGGGTGGGGGGAGGGGGACTGGGGGCCAGAGGAAGATGAGGAGCAGGGGGGGGAGGACAAATGAGGACTGGTGACAGAAAAGCAAGATCGTCCACAGGGAGGGTGACGTGGAGACGCCGCGAGCGGGAATGATATCTGGGGGGGAGGTTTGGGGATACGAGGAGCAGCATCAGCAGAGGGAGAGAAGAAAGGGAGGGGGAAGGGGGGGGGGGCGAGAGCTGAAGGAAAAGAGAAAAGAAAAAGAGTGAGAGGGAAGATGTGAGGGGCAACGAAAAAGCGGGAGCGGAAGCGGAAATGGCCAGAGAAGGGATGGGAAAGGGGCGATGACCATGGATAGAGAGAATAGGACAGGTATATCGATATCCTCCAAGTACATATCCTCCAAAACAAAAGTAGTCATCCAAGACCGGAGATTGACGGTCCCAATGCCTGGGAAACTCATTTTGCCTTCGCATTCCTTCTCCTCCTCTCACAATACCCGGCCAAGGCTGCTCGCCTCCATCAGAAGCTTGTTGAAGCGCACCACCTTGACATACCTTTCTTCAAGCTTGTCCTCCCCTAACAAATTTTGCAGCCCCCCGAGGCAATGCTGTCTGTCTGTTTCAAGCTGATATCGCTCTCTCTCTGTATTTCTTCATATATATATATGTGTATATAAAGATAGTTTCGCTGTCACTATCAGCATGGTAACTTACCAGTTCCCCTCTCTAGTTCATGATGTACCTCTCTCTCATACCTACCTCTCTCTATGTATACATGTATGCAGGCTGCGAGGATGAGGCTGACCAGTTCCTTGCACCAGTTCTACTTCACAATTGCTATTGCTCACTGTTCTTGAGTATATTTCCACTGCTGTAGCGATTGAGCGCCGCGCAAATGGGGGGGGCAAACAAAAACACCAACCACGCCAAAGTGGGGCTCATTGAATTTCCGTGGGGTGCCCTGGGACACGTAAAACACAACACACTCGCGTTTCCCCACAACCCCTGGCAAATGACCCCAGATTCGCGCTCCCGAAGCAACAATCGCATTACAATTGCGCCAGATTCGTGCGGCCTAAGCCACGACGGCCTCAGACGGCCCTAAGACGATCCAAGAAGACCCCAACGCGACAGAGGGCCTCCAGACCGCCCAAGGGGGCCCAAGACTGCCCAAGAGCGCCCCAGGATGGCCCACGATGGCCCCAGGACGGCCTCAGGAGCTCCCAAAACGCCCCAGGAGAGCCCCAAGTTCCCCCCCCGCGGGGGCCCCGACATGCGACAATCAACGATTCCCCTCGGCGGGTGTTTCAAGAATGTTGGCGCTCTCGTCGTTTCGAGCTTCAGCACTCCAAGACACAGAAGGGAGGGAAAGGAGGGAGGGAGGGAGGGAGGGAGGGAAGGGAGGGAGGGGAGGGAGGGAGGGGGAGGGAGGGAGGGGGGAGGGGAGGGAAGGGAGGGGAGGGGAGGGAGGGGAAGGAGGGAGGGAGGGGAGGAGGGAGGGAGGGGAGGAGGGAGGGAGGGGAGGAGGGAGGGAGGGGAGGAGGGAGGGCTCCGAGATCGCTCCCAAACAACACAGATGCTCCCATGAGGGGTCAAGAACGGCCCCAGGGGGCAGCACGGCCCAGGAGGCCTCACAGGGGGCCCACGAGCGCCCCGAGAGGGGCCGAAAGAGGGAACCGAGAGGCGAAAGCGAAGGGGCCTTCCCTCGAAACGTCTCCGCACGCAAAGTTTCAACATGACTCCTGGGGACTGAACCCCAAAGACATTTTGTTTGATCTGCAAGGCGAGAGCGAACCTCTTCCGCTGAAAGCTAAACGGTGCGCGCACAACTTTAATTAGCAAAGAAAGGGCGGAAGAAGGCCGGCGGGCCTCACGCGGCCGGGAGAGGGCGAAACCCAGGGATCAAGCGGTGCCGAAGTTGACGTGCAGGAAAAGGTACACCTTGGACAAGAGCCCGGTGGTGAAGTCCCGGGAGGAAGAAAGCCGGTGGTGGAGCAGTCAGCGGACACAAAACCCCAAAGACACCCGACCTCCACACAAACCGGTCCCCCTACCACACGCACAGTGCCCGCAACAGGCCCCCCACGACACTCCTTGACGGGAGCCCAAAACGCCCCGAGCACGAATCACTCGCCGGGCACCTCTTCGCCCACACGTGCGTCACACTCCTAGAAAGCGTCTGGCGACGCGCCGCCAGCATCCTCAATAATTCTGTATAAGCGCTCCCCTCCCTTCCAAGAACCATTATATCGATCTCTTTATCAGTGTTGTCTCTCGCTCTATCTCTCTCTCTCTCTCCTCTCTCTTTCTCTCTCTGTATACAGATATCTGCAAATACGATACGTACATCAGAACACGCAGACGACATGGAAACGCATGGATGCGGAGCGGGAGTACGTAAGGGCCCCTTAGTTTCAAACTGCACGCCGGCTGGAATGGGCTAGCGGTGGCCCACTCGAAGCGCCGGCGGGCGGAACCGGAAGCCTCTTTACTGTTCGGCGCCCCATATCCTCCTCCTCCTCCTCCTCCTCCTCCTCCTCCTCCTCCTCCTCCTCCTCCTCCTCCTCCTCCCTCTTCCTCCTCCTCCTCCTCCTCCTCCTCCTCCTCCTCCTCCTCCGTCTCATTCGGCCTCGGTACTTGAGGACCGCGGTGCGGCGTCTCATTCGGCTCGGAATTCGGGCCCGCCGAGCCCGGGAACCTCCCAAAAAGACGGGCCGGCAAATCCGAAGCCTGACAGGCGGCACCGGAAGCCTCCTTGCGCTGCGGGCGAAAGCCCTCGCCCGGCTCGGAGCCTGTGTCCGTCGGGAAGTTGTTTTACTCCGCACGGGCGCTGGTGCGACAGCACGGCGCCGACGAGACGGCCCTCAGCGTGGTGACTGCCTCAAACGAAACACTGCGAGACGGCCCCCAAGGCTCGAACCCTCGCCCTGAAGGACAGCACTGCCTGCCACCGTGCCTGCACGACGTAGGCGCGTCACCACGCCAGGTGCTGCTCTGTAGGGCTACTGCCCTCCAATCAGGGCCCCCGTACCAGAGTGCCGTGCACTACCGCCCCCCCCCGGGAATCCCCAACCGCTCCAAGACGGGCCAAAAGGGGCCCAGGAGGCCACCAAGACAAGACGGTCCAGAAAGGCGCCCGAGACGGCCCAAGAGAGCGCTCCTGGGACGCCCGAGATGGCCCGAAGACGGCCCCAGGAGGCCTCCGAGACGCCTCCAGGAGATCCCGAGAGGACCCCCTCCCGAGGCCACGGTGCCTCGTGGCGAAGACGGGCGGGCCCGCGCTCCCGATCGGCCGCGATTATCCGGTGCTCCAGGCGGCGGATCCGCGCCCCGAGCTGCCGAGACGGCCCGTGCAGGCAGCCGAGGACGCCCCAAGGTGGCCCAGGATGCCGTCGGGCCTGGGCCAGAAGAACGCCTGACTAACCCCAGGAAGCACTTAAGAACCCCCCCGGCGATATCTTAGCACCGCATCTTTATTCGATATTCCGAGGGGCCGAAATAACCGCACGATAGGTTTAGCACCCGGACACACACAACAAATTCGCGGAGGCCTGGCCCCTCCGAGGAGAAGGCCCAGAGGGGAAACCCCAGGTGACTTGGGCCCCGACCCAACCCGAAGATCCGAATTTCGGGTTGAGGGGGTACGGATTGATTACATGTTTTTTTTCGATGCTCCCCGACCCCCCCCCCCACTGGAAATGGAGGGCACATCGGGGCCTTCGGGTTGGGTTGGGGTGGGTTGGTGGGTGGTGAACATCTCTCAAGAACATGACCCCCCTCCCCCGTCGTCCAACACGAGCAGTCCAGCCAAGGGTACCCTCCCCAGGATGCACGAGAGCGTCCAACCAACACGAAGAACAGTTGTGCACCCTTCCCGAATCGACCTCGATCTTATGCCTGTCGGGCTGTACCTCGAAGACGGGCCACGATGGTCCCAAGGCGGCCGAACATGGCCCCAGGACAGCCCAAGATGCCTCCAAGAGGGCCTGAAAGGGCCACACGGAGGACCTCCAACAGGACCCGAAGAAGCCAAAACAATGGCTTCCTTACCGGGGGAACGAACAGTCACGCAGACATAAAAACGCGGGGCTCTGCGCGGATTCCTCGGATCGGTTCTGGGAACCCTCTTGGGCCGTCTGGAGTTGCCGGCAGCCCGAAACAACGAGAATGCGACAAGCGTTCAAGAACCGTAGGTCGGGGAACAATCGGGTCGGGCGAAAGGGGGGGATAGCAAAAGGGGGGTTTGAGAATCAGCTCGCGTAGCTGATTTTCCCGGCGCCTCCCGGCGCCAGAGGCGGCCATGTGTCGAGGAATGGGCCTGCATGCAGCAGACTTCGTACCCCCCCTTCCCCCCCCCCCCTTTCGTCCGGCGCGAAACAAGCATAGGGGAACAATTATCCCGGCAAAGCAACCTAACAGCGATGTGTAGAAGCATATTTGGAAGCATTCCCCTTAAGATTCAGGTGAGAATCGTAGAATTCTGCTGCTCTCGCAGTCGCAGTCGCATTCGCAATGACAGGCGCAGTGGCAACGGCCTTAGGATTTAATGGAATCCTAAGGATTCCTGGGGATTCCTCAGGCATCATTAGGCATCCTTAGGAATCCATAGGAATCCTTAGGAAACATTAGGAATCCGCCGACCCCTTGGGGATCATCGGTGACATTGATATGCTTTCTCCCCCCCGCGCCTCCCCCAAACCCCTCCCCCGGGAGCCCCGTTCCCGGTCGATTTGGAGTGGGGGGGGGGGTCCGGGACGACGCGTTCAGCGGGGCTGAGGGGGGGGGGGGGGGTCCGGACGAAAGATAAGCAAGGGGCTTTTCCTGGCCAAGATGGCTTTCAAGAGGGCCCACGAGCCCCCAAGTGGCCCCTCCAAGACGGGCCCACGAAGGATCGAGAAGCCAAAACTACGGACGAAAAAAAACCGCTCCAGATCCAAGACGGACCCCGATGGCCTCGGACGGGCAAAAGGGTCCCAATACGGGGCAAGAGGGTCCCAAATGGAGCCTCCCAAGAGGGCCCAGGAGATTGTTTTTTTATTCTGGCCGATAACGCTCGTTACCCGGGGGGGGGGGGGGGGCGGTCGTGCCCCCCGGGCAACGGTAACGCTTGGGCTGGGCGGGGTATGGCGAGGCAGGGGCGCTCTGCGATCGCCATAGTATGCGCGCGAGCAGCACTCTCTGCCTGAGAGCACCACAGTGGCTTGCGTTTCGAGTACAAGCGCAAAGCCCGCCGCGTGGTCCCGGCACCACGCCCGCGCCCGCGCGCGCGACGACGATGATCGACGAGCGACGAGCGACGAGGTCGACGACGACGACGACGACGACGTTTGCCGCCTGTTTCGGCCTCCGGAGGCCGTTTTCGAGCGCCGTCGACGGACGACGACGACGACGACGACGACGACGACGACGACGACGACGACGTTTTTCGCCTTTTCGGACTCCGGAGGCCGTTTTTCGGGCGCCGTCGACGACGACGACGACGACGACGATGAAAACGACGACGACGACGACGACGACGACGACGACGACGACGATGACGACGACGACGACGACCACGTCGGCGACGGCGACG